CTTAACCAACCTCAATAGATTGTCACTGTATACCATATATATATATAATATAATATAGGTTATTATATATATTAGTATAGTATGTATATAAGCATACAATATAGTATACATGTATATTATAAATATAGGCCACTTGAGCCAAACAGCCACGAAGGCCACTTGAGCCAAACAGCCACGAAGGGTTAGCCGACGGGGGGGGGGGTACCACGAACCTAGGCGAACGCGAGCCGGTGATCCCGACTTAGTGGTGACCCCCGTCGTTTGGCCCTGACTAAACACAGCAAATGGCCCTTAAACTGCAAATCCCCGGCAAATGGCCCGAGAAAAAAAAAGAGCAAATGGCCCTAAAGCATTTCACGGCAAATGGCCCTAAAACCCGTCAATGGCTCCCACGCCTCTTTGGTCCAGTCCAGGAAGCTTCGCAGGGCAACCTGGAGACCGAGCCGCTCGCCGATTTTGTGGGGCTAGTCTCATGCGCCGTCAGCACAACCAGAATGCTTCTAGCTTGGTGAAGACCCCTGGAAAAAATGAGAAACTATGTCCAGTGATAAAGTCCAAATGAAAACACAAGGGAACACAACACATCTTCTGAAAAGCAAATGGAAGCCAACATGGCTCCTTGGAGTCGCAGCATCAAGCCAACGTCGTCAACAAACCGTCAAACGCACCATTAAACCCAGAAACCACCGGCCCCAGCCCCAAACACCTCTGACCGCCACCGCCTCCTCTGCCTTTTTGCCCCGCCAATTGGCGGCCCGAAAGGCGTCTCCCGCCTTCTGCACGTCCGGGCGCACCTGGAACTTGGCCAGCAGCCACGCCGCGGCGTCCCTCACCCGCGAGGTGGCCCGAAGGTTTGCCAGCGCCAGCTGCTGCACCCGGCGCTGCAGGGCGCCCCCGCCCGCGGAGTCGATGCTCGCGAGGTCGAAGGGCGTCAGCAGGACCTCGATCTCGTCGCTTTTATTTGGGGGGGTTGCTGGTTTTCTTATTTTTGTAGTATTTTACCTTTTTTCCCGCCCGAAGATGAAAGAAACAGGGGAGGTGAGTCTCTGGGGTCGGCACCAAACGAACCTCATGTTGGACCCGTCAAATGCCCCAGGTGAGTTTCAGAATGCAAAAAACGGTTGGGGGATGCCCCTGAACAAATATGAGGCTGCCCCATTTTTGTTCGAAATCCACGGTTACAACCAAGATTATGCCATGTTCAAAGTCACCTCCGAGTGAGTTCGACAGAAACATCAACTTGTTTCACCATGGTATCGAAAAATGGGCCAATGCACCATGTGCAGCGGACACAGATTGCTTGTTGTTTGTCCCCTTCGATCGTGGCTCCAAACTTGGCACGGAATTTGTCTCAGATCAGAGTTGAGTGTTCGAAAGTTGAGGACACATGTGGCAAGTCTTCGAAGCGGGTGCTCGGCGAGTTTGAACCCGCGATCTCCCAGCAAGTATTGTGATGTCCTCTCGTACCAATTGGTGTCCAGTTTTAACCGTGATCAAGAAAACAAACAATAGCGGCAACAGTGGCAGTCAAAAGTCACACAAAACAACAACTTGCGCTGGGAAGTGGTGATCCATTTGGCTGAGTTTCCTGAGCTCTCAGTCAGCAGCTTAAAGCCTTCCTGGAGAAGGTGATAGCTCTGAAGCCCCATCTCAACAGGCCACGCGCCACGAATTCAGCACAAGGCCTAGCAAGAAATCCATGCAATGCTCCAAGCTTCTGTCTCCGAATCTACGCGTCTGCTTCTTTCCACCTTAAGATTCACACGAATCCCTCAAGGCCCTCTACCAAAGCGTCCCCCCAGCTAAAGGGCCGAAGGCCTTAGCGCTCTTTGTGACAGAGTTGCCATGCCCAGCCACAAGCTGAGGCAGTACAGCGTGGACCAGGTCTCCTGAATCCCAAAACTAGGAAAGAATCATAGCCGCAACAGGCCGCCTTCAATCACTGGGCAGCTATTTGATGAATTGAAACACCGCAGGACTCTGCACAACTGCAAGTCCTCCAACCCCACTGCGCTTTTTAACAAACGACCCATGTGCTGATGGATTTAAGCCCTTCGATCATGGGCTCTTCTTGCAGCACTCAGATGGCATGCGTGAAGCCTTCTCAGCTGGGCATGCAGTCATGCTACACGTCCACCCGAAAGCATGTCGTGCGCTCTGGGGCATGCGTGCCCGCACAGAGCGACTGAACAAAACCCCCAACAACTTGCATGCCCGCGCCGAGGTGTCTTTCGTTTTGCTTTCTTTGGAGTCTTGGAAATTCCACACACACCCTTGCCACACGTCCGCTTCCCCTTGCCACACCCTTGCCACAAGGAGCAGACGTCTTTGCCACGGGAAAAAGTCTGCCACACGTCTGCCAAACGTCTTTGGCTCCGACCAGGTCCTTGAGGCCCAAGGCGGTCTCCCGCTCCGCGGCCTCCAGGCAGGGCTCCAGATCCGCGGCCTCGTGGGAGAAGAGCCGCGTCACCGTCTTGTAGCCTCCGCGAAGAGCCGCCGGAAAGGGGGGGGTTTGGAGGGGAACGGCGCTCTGGGGAGGAAAAAAGGCGCCGCCTCTGCCCGTTTTGTTTATTTGCTTCTTCTTTTTTTGCGGAGAAAACGTCGGAAGTTGAAAACCCAAACGGAAAACAGAGGTCGACATCGGTTTTCTTGGTTTGGTGGCGGCGACCTGGCGACCTCTGCCGTTTTTTTTAGGAGTTGGTGCCTGAGACCAGTGCACCCAAAGGCCAAAAAGCAGTGGTATCGCATGTTGCTCAGGGTTGATACGCCAAGTTAATACATAGTTCTGGTTGTATCCTGAAGAAATGACAAAAAGGTCAACTCCTAGCCCGGTTGGGTTCCGGAAGAGTCCTGCCCTCTTCCCTTGGACAACCGAATATGTGCGGGTAGGGAAGGGGGGGGAGGCGTGCAAAACTGGAGCTTGCCCACAACCCATCGGGAGCGAAGAAGGGGTATGTCTCAAGCTATGGTTTGCCCGAAAACGGAGTGGTTTCTCTTGGGTCTCCCTTTACTTGCTGGTGCTGAGTAGGGAATGACCCACAGTTTTGGGAATGAACCTAGGGATTCCCTTGAATCAAACCAGAAGGGATTGTTGATAGGGGTCATTCCATTTCTCATTCCCTGCCCATCGAACCAGCAAGTGGTTAAGCCGAGCAAGAGGGTACGTACCCGAACAAAGAACGTCCTCCAGTAGAGAGGTTAGAATAAGGGTACTCTTTTCTCTGTAGTCTATTTTAGTAGGGGAAGCCTCCCCCACAAAAGGGTAAAAGGGCACTACTGACCTGACAGACTCCAATCCGGATCGGGATCTTTCCGGTGCTGGCGCCTCTGACAGTGGTGAGCAGGTACAGGAGAGAGCTCAGCAGGTGCAGATTTGGCAGCGCTTCCTCCGCCGCTTTGGGCTTCTGACGCCTTGTTTAGCCAACAAGGCGCTGACCGGGTTGGTTGGTTGGTTGGTTGGTTGGTTGGTTGGTTGGTTGGTTGGTTGGTTGGTTGGTTGGTTGGTTGGTTGGTTGGTTGGTTGGTTGGTTGGTTGGTTGGTTGGTTGGTTGGTTGGTGGACTGGGTGAGTGGGTGGGTGGGTGGGTGGGTGGGTGGGTGGTTGGTTGGTTGGTTGGTTGGTTGGTTGGTCGGTGGGGTGGGTGAGTGGTTGGTTGGTTGGTTGGTTGGTTGGTTGGTTGGTTGGTTGGTGGACTGGGTGAGTGGGTGGGTGGGTGGGTGGGTGGGTGGGTGAGTTGGGAGTGCATTCGCCTGGGGCAAATCTGCCGAGTGTGCTCTAGCAGAACGTGCGGAGGCGAGGAACTGAGGCTATCCACTTTTAAGTCTTCCCAGCGTATAACGCAAAGAGAATCAGAAACGCGAAACTGGTCCTCTCACGTGGCTCAATATTGGCCCTGACACCAGGAGCAACATTTGGTGGCTCAGTGCTCATTGGAGGCAAACAAAACCTTTGATGCTGCCCATGCTTAGGCAAATTGGGGGTGTGTGACAAACATGCGGCCAACCAAGACCCCTGTAGGTTGCAATCGACAAAAGAAGCATGTTCAATCACATAGCTTCCAATTGTTTGATGACAAGTATCATTTGACACTTGGTGGTGCTCCCCTGTAAAAGATTTGGCACACTCGCACGCTGGATCTTGCCAGGCCCATTTCCGCCGGACTCAGCCAGAATTGTCTTAAGACCTTACCCACTCGTCCAAAGGACATGGAAATTCAAGGCCAATCTTCTGTAGGCAGTACAAGGAATTCAAAGGAGGGCAGAGCCAAGATAGCTTCAAGCAGCTCTCGACTGGAACTGGCAAAGCAATCCAATTCCCAGCTTTCTGCTCGCATGGAAAAAGTTATTTTTGTTGTGTTGTTTTACTTTTCGTGGTTTTATACGGAAAACCCATCAACGTTGGCAAAAAGTTGCTCAGTCCTAACATCCCTTGGCAAAATTTGCGCCAAAGACGCCTGTTCTTGTTACGTTTGTCTTCACGAACAAAATGCCTCAGAGCCCAAAAGGCTGGGAACTGAGTCAAAAAGCGCGAGTTGCTATGGTGTTTTTCTATCAACCATTGTATTTGAGCCATAAAAACAACACCTAGTCCAGGTCCTCCAGATTTGAGAGGTTAGAATTATATATTTGGTACCAACTTGTTTGTCAGTAGTCTCTTTTAGGGGAGGCGAATCTCCCCAAAAGGGAAACGGTAGGGCGCCTATCTGGGGGACCTAGCCAAACCAAACGAAAGCAGAAAAAACAAAAACAAGCCAAAGTAGGAGCAAAACCCAAGGGGCCACTTTGGTGCGCTGGGCTTTTCTATACACCATTGGCTTTGAGCCAGCGCCAAACCAAACGAAAGCCGAAAATGAGCACCAAGCGACACTGCCGAGGCGATGGCGCCCATGAGGGGCTCCACCATCTCTTCGAGGAAGGGGTCCAGGAGAGCTGGCTGCTCCTCGCCGGCTTCGGGCTTCGGCTCTGGCCGTTTTTTTTTGAATCAGTTATTCTCTGATTTCTACACAAAAGGCAGCTAGACTCCAACAAATGTTCTGGGTGCTGAGCGAATATGTGAGCTATGTTTACAGAATGTGGAGTCTGAAAGTGCTAGCGGCAGTTCGTTTTGGCCATGTGTTAGGTAGTAGTGGAAGCGGCTTTCTGGGGGAAAGGCCCAGCTGCTTTTTGAAGGTCCAAAGAACCCCATCCAAGAAGTGACCGGGACCGAATCTTGTGGGCAAAACAGGCAGCTCAGGACTCTCGGCATTTGGCTTAGGGTCCCGTGTGCCGCTATCCTTATCCCGTGACCAGGCTTGCAGCTGAAACGTAACGAGTCTGAAGTTGTAAGCGAGGCTTACAATCAAGACTGAGCATGTATCAAAGAATGTGCACACGCACAGCGCCTGGTGATAGATTTAAATCAATCAAACAATCAATCAATCAATCAATCAACCAATCAACCAATCAATCAATCAATCAATCAATCAATCAATCAATCAATCAAATCAAATCAAATCAAATCAAATCAAATCAAATCAAATCAATCAAATCAAACAATCAGTCAATCAAATCAAATCAAATCAAACAAATCAAATCAAATCAAATCAAATCAAATCAAATCAAATCAAATCAAATCAAATCAAATCAATCAAATCAATCAAATCAATCAATCAATCAATCAATCAATCAATCAATCAATCAATCAATCAATCAATCAATCAATCAATCAATCAATCAATCAAATCCAATCCAATCCAATCAATTCAAATCAAATCAAATCAAATCAAATCAATCAAATCAAACAATCAGTCAATCAAATCAAATCAAATCAAATCAAACAAATCAAATCAAATCAAATCAAATCAAATCAAATCAAATCAAATCAAATCAAATCAAATCAATCAATCAATCAATCAATCAATCAATCAATCAATCAATCAATCAATCAATCAATCAATTCAAACAATCAATCTAGCAACCAAGCAAGCAAGCAAGCAATCAAGCAATCAAGCAATCAAATCAATCAAATCAATCAAATCAATCAAATCAATCAAATCAATCAAATCAATCAAATCAATCAAATCAATCAAATCAATCAAATCAAATCAAATAAATAAATACATAAATCAATCAATCAACCAACCAATGAAGGCTTCAAGCATCCAAAACGCATGCACCCCTGAGCTACCTGTTTATTCCGCCTCATTCCCTGTCTGACAACCCCATAACCACCTAAAACCCCAAAAAAACACAAAGCCCAATCCTGTCCCCTTCCCCCCGGCCGGCATGCACACGTACAACTTGGTTGACGTTGAAAGGGGAGCAGAAATTTAAGTTTGCAGTCAAGTGGTTGGATTTCCACCACTAAACCACAATAATCAAACATGCAAACTGCTTCCCAACAACAACCATGAACACTTGGCTGCTGTTGACACCCCCTGCAAAAAGTGAATCACGTTTTTGGGGTTTAGTGGAAAACGCCTTGATTTCCACCAAAAAGTGAAAGTCGAAAGATCCGTTACCCAATAGAAGTCAAGGAAAAAACAACCCACTCCTGGTACTGGCCCCAGATCTGCCCGATGCGCTCGCAGAGCTCTCTGCAGGCGGCACTTGGCAGCTCAGGGGCCACCACCTTTTTCAGCGCCTCACGCACCTCGTCGATCTCCTGAAGCAAAAGAGGCCCCCCGAAAAGAAAAACAAGAGAAAAACAAGAGGGGGAGCAAGAGGGGGAGCAAAAAAAAACGAAAAACACAACAAATAACAAAGTTTGTTTTGTTGTGTGTTGCTGTTTGTTTGTTTTCTCTTCTTTTTTTTAGCAAATACAGCAACAAGGATTGTACCTATGTTCCACTGCCAGCAGTCTGGGGGTTGCGGAACCACTGATTGTCCACGGTCATGTTTCTTTCCAGAGCATGCATTTCATGCTGAAGTTGGGGATTGTGGTACTGTCGACATCCTGAGCTAGCTGCTAAAAAGTTGCAGCACTTTGCCAAAAGCGCAGAAGATCTGCATTGAAGGGGGTCTACATGGTCAGGAATTTGCGTACATAGCCACAGGTCTTATTTAGTCATGCCTGAAGCGAACATGTCATTTGAAAAAAAGATGCGATGCTTTTCCATATGACATCACCTGATCAGCGAGCTGCTAAAACTGCAGCAAAGAACCCTGTATTTTCAAGGGTCTACCACGTCCACTCTTTTAAACGCATCCTTTTTATTGTCGAGGGACCGTACTTTCTATTCCCCAACAGCTGAAAGCTTTGGGGTCTCAGCCCAGATAGGCTCTGGGATGGTCCGGGGAGGCCCTGAGGTAAGGTTCCACCAGGGTTTCACGAGGGTTCCACGAGGTTCTGCGAGGGCTGCGGGAAAGAGCACCGCATGCTGTTGGGGATATCACCTGAGCTTATTCAAGCCTTTGTCGCATTTGTCGGTCTAGACTGTATAAAATCAATGAAGGTCAAAGTGTTGCAGGCAGGCATAGGCCATGATGTCCCAGCTCTCCATTGCTTTTGTCGAGGGACCTCTGTTATAGCCTTACCAGTTTATAGTCCAGACCAATGAAACTACGTTGGTCATGGAAGGCCAGGGCCGCGGGTTCCAACTCTGGGCGCTAAAGGATGACCCACCCTGTCGACCTCGCCAGTTGGATGCAACTTGTGGCACCTTTTTCTCGCGGAAAGCAATCATGACACCTCTATGCACAGCCTGGCATCTGAAATGTGGCCAAGTTGCATGGAAGAATTCACGCTTGTTGGCGACGACATAGTCGTTTCCTTCCTCCACATCCGCTAGATCCTCTGCGGTTGCATCTCCACCGCAAACCACCTGCCAGTACATCTGATGCCTATCACTTGTTCTAACTGAAGTCTGCAGCCAAGGCTTAGGCACGAGTTCCCTCTCGGAGCTTGCGCTGCTCGTTTTGCCTATTCGCCCTGCCTGCTCGTCATTGCTGGTCAGCGTGGCCATGGCATCCGGCCCCACATTGGCGGGCGAGGCAAAAAACCAACGCAGAGGGTGTTGGATGTTCTGAGCAGCGCCAAAGTCCAACTCATCTGAGGTTTCGTGTCTCACCCATTTTAAGCGCCCAAACTCCAAGATGCTAACTTAGAGTAATGTCCTGGCCTTTGAATGCATGTGACCACTGAGTTGGCATGATTGCTCTATGTCTCCTTTGTTTGCCAATCTCTGTCCTCACATACATGCTATAAATAAATGCATAATATGTATTATGTATTGCAAATAGCTTTACATAGACAACGTATGAACGTTGCTGCCGCGTTTGCACAGCAGGTAGAAGTGCTAGCTTGTCATCTAAGTACTCACCCACCTGTAAGACATGGGCCTGTCAGTGTATCAGTTACGAAAGCAGCTATAATGGAGATGCCAGCAGCCGAGCACCTACTGTGATGCAAGCAAGTGCTCTGCAACCGCCTGGGATGATCAAACCACCAACAACATGGAAGGTGTACATAGTTTTAAAGGGACCAATGACAATGACCATCCCTGACCAACGAAAGTTGGACTGTTGCAAACACAAGTTAATAACAAGGTTCTCAGTTGAGACGCATTCCTCTCAACATAAGATAGATTGACCCCAATATGGTTGGGTTCCTTGCAACAATAGGTCTCTTAAATGCAAACTCCCACTGACTCAAAACCAACGAAAACCTACGCACTTGCCCAAAGGACCTGGAAATACAAGGCGATCACATTTTGGGGTCATGACAAACCACTGATCAAAAAGGAGAAACCAACAAGTTAAAAGGTCAACTCGCTTTGGGCAAGCAAGCCTAAAAACCTCACCAACACCTACGGGTTAAATGGAAACCCAAGCCTAAACCAACTAGGTCCTCCAGTAGAGAGGTTAGACTACGGGTACCAACTATTTTTCTGCAATCTATTCTAGTAGGGGACCCCTCCCCCCCAAAAAAGAAACGGTAAAAGTTGGCACCAATTGCGGGGGGACCTAGCCACCAAAAAACACCTCACCTGACCTAGGCGGACGACTCCTGGGAGTTTCGCAACACGAACATGGGTTGACGTTGGAAGGGGGGCAAAATTAAAGTTTTAGCAGTCAAGTGGTTGGATTTCTACCACTAAACCACAATAAGCCAAAATGGGAAAAATGCTTCCCAACAACAACCATGAAAACTTGGCTGCTGTTGACCCCCCCCCGCAAAAAGTGAATCACTTTTTGGGGGTTTAGTGGAAAACACCACTTGATTTCAACAACAACCATAGAACACGTTCGGGAACTTTCCGTGGGCCCCGTACGCCGGTGATCACGGAGAACTCCGCGGAGCCCTGCAGCTGCTCAGCCTGCAGGAGCTGAAGGCATAGGCGAAGCGAGCTTCGTAGAAGGGGAAGTTGCCCCCCGCAGTTTGAGCAACCCAACCGAGCCAAACATGGAAGTGTGCCACAGAAGTGACCTGCAGTCTCCTTCTAACTTCTGACCCTTAAAAAAAAGGGGTCCATGACCCCATGATTTAGGGTATTTAGGGGAATGCCTTTATTGGTTCGAGGGTCATGGAGACTCTGGGTAGCCGTAAAACATATGGGAATGTGCCCCAACAGTTTGAGCAATCACCCATTTTGCAGAAAAACATGGAGGGTTCAAGAAATTAATTACACCCTTTTCCCGGGGTGGAGTGTCGCTTTCCTGAGTGGGTTGGCCAAACAAAGTCACTAAACTGTTGGTGACTACAACTAAAAAAATCCAAACTCAAGAGCGACGAAGTCCGAAACGGAACTCAGGCAGCGAGCAATGTAGCACAGGCTACCGCGTTGGGGAGACTTGACTGACTTGACTTGGCCTTTTTGTGAGGCTTGCCATTTTTAGATTGCGCTTGATCGAGACGTTCACAAACGAAATCCGTTTGGAGGGTCCGGAACCCTAGCTTGAGACATTCCACCTTGGACCGTTTGCCAGCAAATACCTTGCTACTCACTGCAGTTTGGAAGGTTCTTTGGTTGATCCAAATGTTCATCATGTAGCGGGTTCCCAAACAAACCGGGCGGGAAGTGGGTTCCCAGCCTGGTGCCCTACCTCGGCCAAAAACAGGGTAGGATCACCCCCCCCCCCTGAACAAAAGGATCCCAAACAACAACGGTGAGCAACCCCAAAACTCTATGGTAACCACACCCCCACCAAAAAAAGGGGGGTCGCCGAAACAAGTGGGTTCCCCAACAACCCAACCCAGTAGATTTCCAACAAACCTAGTCTTCTCCCAACAAAACCAAGCTGGATCCCAAATCCCCCAGTCCACTTACATGTCAGTATCTTCAGTATCTTGAAAAACACAGTAGGTGGATGAAAAACGGTGCAATTACCGGGTCACTCCGTGTCACCTGCGTGCGTATCGCTGCGTGTTACTTGCGTGTCACGCGCGTGTCTGTGCGTGCTACTTGCTGGCTTGGCAAGCGGGTGCGCTTGAGCTGGTGTGCTTAACATTTGGAAGGCGTGGATACAATGCTGACGAGTGCACTTGAGCGGGTATGCTTGCCACTTTGGCAGGTGTGGTTGCAGTGCGCACCATTTGGCAGGCGCACAGGTGTGCTTACCATTTTGTGGATACGGTGCTGGACGGGTGCACTTGAGCAGCTGGCGCTCATTCAGTGCTGAGCGGGCGCACTTGGGCGGGTGTGCTCATCATTTGGCAGTTTTGCAGCAAAACGGCTGAGAGGGGTTTGCCGCTAGTCTTGAAAGGGCCCGCGCGATTTGTGCAAAATAAGACCATCATGTTTAGATGATCGATGTCAAAGAGAGTTGCATGTCATTCTCTGCGAAAAAGTGCAGAATGACAAATGATGTGTGTCGAATGTGCTGCGTTTTACAGCACGCCGTGGGTCGTCTGCTGCGGCATGTGACGGAGCAAAGTCCGGGCACTGATGAAAAAAGAGCACGAGCTATTGTTTCTTCTCTGCCCGACAGTCAAAATGTCCTGATAAAACAAAAAAACACGGGACAAAATGGAAGTCGCATGCCTGAAGTGCAACTCCGAAATCGCTGTGGGTTACTCTGCTTTCGAAGGCAGTGGCACAAACCTAGCAGCAAACCTGTAACGCTTAACTAAAACGGTTGAGAAGACTCCACACGTGCCCCGTGGATCCCAGTCACAATGACCCATGGTTCTTTTGCATTTTTTTTCCAGCTGCTGGTTCATCATCCCCCCCCCGGCTTTACGACGAGCAAACAGCTGTGGTTGGGGGAATTGGTGGAAGCCAACCCTGTCTAGGTCCTCCAGATTTGAGAGGTTAGAATAAGTTGGTACCCGATTTCTTTCTTCTGTAGTTAGTCTACTTTAGTAGGGGAACCCTAACCCTCCCCCCGAAAAAAAGAGCAAAAGGGCACCAGCAGGGGGGGGGGGAACCTACCCCGTGAAGGCCTCGTGGACGGGGGTCTCCACCGCGGAACCCAGGATGTTGATGCGTGCTGGGCGCGGGCGCGGCAAAGTGAGCTATGGCCAACTGAACCTGGTGCCGGTGTTTGTATCTTTTTGGAGAAACCCACAAGGAAAACCAGTTCTGTTTCTTTCTGGGGGGGGCTCCCCACAAACTTTGTTTTTCGTTTTTCTTTCTGGGGGGTTCTTTTTTGGGGGTGGGGGAATGCTCCCCGCAAAAAGACATACCCACTTGTCTGACTTCAATACAATAGGCTGACCTGCTTTAAATAGCTTGCGAACAGAACGCCTATGAGGCCCTAAAAAATGCATGTGGTTTTGGGGTAATGTAAAAGCAAAGATAGTTTTGAATATGCCAGCCAACGATTAGCAACTATGTGGGCCCGTGATGGCCGTTGCATTGAAAGTTGATCAACGACAAGGGCCTGAAACGCTATCAATGGCATTGCCATACATTGGCCCTTTGTCTAGACTCAGTGGCCAAAAGATTCCACAAAGCCTGAAATGGCCAATACGCCAATGTCATACTTCCAGCTGCAAGGGCATGTTGAAAGATCACATCCTGGCAAAGCCATGCAAAGCATGACCCTAAACCTGGGGTCATTATGTTGGCTGTTTCTGGGGGTTATCAAAGTCAATCAAAGTCAGAAAATGTGGTAGTTTCCCTTCAACCCACCACTTAGGGGGTGACTTTGATCATGGCAACAAAATGAGGCCAGTAAACTACACGTTGCTGATTTGTTGAGTGATGTGGACAAATCAGCTGCCTCGCAATTGTGCCACATTGGACAATCAGGCAAAGTGTCAGCATCACGCAGGTTGGTCGAACTGTCTGGGTGCTGCACATGCGATTGCTCTGGCCGTATCAGGATGATCTCCAGTGACCATCACAACCTGTCAAGGCACGGACGCCACAAGTCCACTTCCCGAGCTGTGCTACTCACTTCCCGAGTAGATTGGGCGAAAACAGTCTAAACTTGTGCTTTGCCACGAAAATGGTCTTCCCAAAAAGTATCAAGTGCCTTCCACTAACATAGAACCTGGAGGGTACCTGGAAGATCATTCTCTTCAATGGACCCTCTGGGTGCCATGTTCGCCGGGAACTCCGGGTCAAGTCCCGCAACTCAGGAGACGAGGTGATGGTTCCACGAGCGCAGTGCGCTGCAAAGTGGCTGTCTGCAGATACCCGGCCTTGACGCCAGCCTTCTGCGCCGCGACCACTGCCTCATCCACTCCTTTCTTCGGCGGGTCCTGGCCACCAGAGACCATAAAAAATGCAGCTTGCCAAATACTGTGGATGGACGAAATCCATTTCGCACCACTGAAGAAACCCTGGAATGATGATTCCCCGGTAAATTTCAAACAACAATTTCCCGTGGTTTCAAAGTGGTGTAGGACTTCGTCCATCCACAGTATGAACTTGTCGGCATCTAACAGTTCTCCGTGAACCTGTGCAACGACTTGCCCAAAAAAAACACTTTAGGCATGCCACATGCTTCCGGCCCGCATGGGCTTCAGGCCATGCACCTTTCGGCCACGCCTCGATTCCGTAGAGGCCGACAAAGGTGAAGTCCTTCATGGGGAAGTTGCAGTCTGCAGCGTTG